TACTCTGTTCCTTGAGGTCTGCTCTTTTCTCCAGGTGTGTGCAGTCTGGCGCCGTCCTCTTTCCTGTTGCTCTCTCAGGGTTAGTTGTGTTAATTATATTTTCATATTATATGTGGTTTTAGGAGGAAGCCTCTGCCTCATCTCTCATGCTGCCATCTTTAATCCTGCTGAGTTGTTTCTGTCTTTCTTGACCAACTTATTCATTTTGGCTTTTTGGTGGAGTACATCTTCCAGAGGTTAATCACCTTAAAAAGACAGAGCAGTGTCTTTGGTTGAGGTGAAGACAGCCTTCAGTAATCCCTCTCATGAGCCGCACCGCTCTAACTCGGACTCACCCCCCCGCCCCCACCCTGGTACAGCTCTCACCCTGGGGTCGCCCTGCACCATCGCCGTGGGGGGATTCCTTCCCCTCTTCATTGAAGCTCATGTCTTCCTCCTTGTTTGTTCATGCTCATATTTTGGTGGAGGAATCTCTCCAGTGGCTTTTGAGATGGGATGCTCAGGAGGTAAATGTTTGAGACCATGCATGACTGAAAGCTTGGATCGGTAATTTGGCTAGGTAGAGAGTTCGGTATGGCATTCTCTTTTCTGTAAATTCAAAGATCCACTCCATTGCTGCCTTGTCACATTACTGTTTCTTAATTTCGAAGCTATTCTCATTTTCTATTCTTTGTATGTAACTTTTATCCTGACATCTTTAGAAGCTTGTAGGAGTTCTAAATTTATTCATGTCTTTTGAAATATCATGATTGTGTCTTGTGTGGGTCTGTCTTCATCTACTGTTCTTCATATTTAGTGGGGCCCTTCATTCTGGCAACTTAGATTTTTCAGTTCTGGGAAAATTTTTTTTGGAATTATTGTACTGAAGATTTTCTTCCTTTGTCTTCTTATTCTGGAAGTCTTTTCACGTAGGACTTGACTGTCCAAGTAGTTATTTAATTTTCTTAGATTTTCACTCTAATATGTTTTTCTTTTGACCTTCCTTTATCTTTTCTTTTTTTGGCCTTTTTGTTTTCCTTTCAGGGAGACATCTTCAATTTGACTTAATATTCTTTAGTTTTCTTCTTCTTTATAGTTTTTTATTTGTTTCAGATTCTTTAATTTCGAGAGTTCTTCTTTTGTTCTTTTAAAAAGGCATCCTATTCTTTATTAATAGCAATGTCTTCTCTAGGTTATTGATAATGGATGTACTTTCTGTTTCTTTCAAGTTGTTTCCTTCCTTCCTTGTATCAACACGGGTGAGGTGTTTTGACTTTTACATCACAACATTCTGGATTGCCATTTGTTGGGGAATCCCCAGTGTTGGTATCTTTAGGTCTTTCTTCTTGGACTGATCAGATTCTCCAAGAATATTCTTCAGTCTCTTTACTGCAGAATTCTGGGAGCTAGGTGGGTGGATTGGGGTAGGGGATCTGGAAATTCACCATTCAGTGTGTGTACGATGTTTAAATCCACCTCTGTTTAGTATAGGGCAGGATAGCCCAAGCCTAGAGATTCTGTGCTTTTTCCATTGGGAGACCCTCCAGTCTTCTGTCATGTGGAGGTATGGTGCTGAGATTCTACTGCGGCCTAAACAGCCTTCACCCATTGCTCTGTATTCAGGCCTCCACCTTCCTTCCCCCCAGCTCTGCCTGCATCGATGCTGCTGGTTCTGAGCCTTCTAGGATACTGCTGAGTCAACAAAATTGGTTCTTAGTTTTTTCCACTGCTGGCTTAGGATCTGGGTTTTTTGGGCCTGTGGGGTTGTTTACAATGCTTCCAATCTTGTATAGTTTCTGTTTCCTCCAAGTTTTTCTTTTTCCTGTCTCTGTCTTGCATGTTGGAAACTTTCCTCACAGCTTCCAAAATTTTATTACTTTTTCTCCATTCAGTTCTCTCTGTGCTTGTTTGTTGTTGTTGTTGTTTTTTTAATCTCCTTAGGATAAATTTAGTGGGAGGGGGTGAAATAAATGCATATGTTAATCATTTTATCCAGTACTCATTAGCTAACATCACGCCATATTAATTTAGGACTGTTAGGTTTTAATCATTTTCAGTTGTTCCGTGTGCATCTTCTTAACTGAAATGTAGATGTGAAGATGGTCTTGGTATCATTTTCATCCCTTGTTACAAGACCAACACAATAGGCATGGTAGGCCACAAAGTTGACTGAGGTGGTGAACACAGTAGAGCTTTGAAAAAGTAGTGAAGTAAAGGTGGTTTTATATATACGTGTCATCTTTTTCTTGGCAGGTTCTCTCTGCTATAGGAAGAGGAAAGAGAAGCCAGTAGTATTTCCTTTTGATCATTGACTTCTTCACAGAGTCAGGAGTCATTGTGGCCTTCTGAACTGTAAGTGTAATCCTCTTGGCTTAGCACACATCTTGCTGTTTTGTTTCATTTTGATTTTTCTTTCACCCGTCTTACGGTTTCTTTGACATACAGTGGAAACAAATAAAAGGTAGCTGATTTTGCAGAATAGGTGAGGGAATATACCTCAGTATACTCCAAATATTAGTTGTTTAGTGCCTTTTATGTGTAGATCTTTATGTATATATTTTTCTGAGATAGGCAACCCGTGTAGTAATGATGGTTAATAATAATATGCAGTACAACACATACTTCAGAATAGCCCTTGGTACACTATAAACACTTAAGTTACAACTACTGACTGAATCCTCACAGTCACTCAATATCATGGCTCTAAGTTCAGATGTTGGCTTAGCTACTTATTAACTCTTTACTAGCTACTTAAGTCTAGCTTTCTTATCTGACAAATAGGATGTTCTTCCCAGGGTTGTGATGAAGATGCTGTGAAAGATGTATAATGTGCTTAACACTCACAAATGTCAGCAATTTATTCAGTGGTATTTGCCACTTTAGTGAGAAGAAATCTGAGCCCTAGAGAGATGGGGTTATTTGTAATTTGTTAATTTGTAACTTTGGAGTTTGTTCTGTGTTCCACAGTCAGGAGGTTGTGTAGCTGGGATTTTGTCCGGGTTTGTCTTATGTCCAGAGGGTGCTCTTTCTGCTGAGTGTATTGGTACATCAAGGACAGGCAGTTGATTTGTGAATCTCTCTTGGGGCTCTGGCATTGGGAAGCATTTTATTTTTCCAATACATTGTTTTGGTAAAAGTCTCATGAACTTGGACTTCATGAATTCAGATTTCATGGTAATTTATGACTATGTTGACTTTGACTTTGGCAAATGTTTTTATTTTAGATGTCCAAGGGGTAGGACCCTGGATTGTTTTCCCATTTCCTTCCAAGGGTTAGTTCACTTTCCTGCTTTGTTCTCCTTTCTCCCCCAAACCCAGCTTCTATTTCTACAGAGATTAGGTATGAGGGAGGGGATATTATGTCATGCAGTTTCAATTTCCTGGCAGGGCCTGGAAGTCTTGTTCCTGTTCCCGTTGTGCCTGCTCTTTACTGGCTGCAAGAGGAGCCTGGCCGTTGTATGTGGTTCCAGGTGTGAGGAGGCATAGCCCTGCTGTGGCGCCTCTAATTTAGCTCACCTTCTCAGTCTGTATTCTGTGTTTGTCCCTCTAACAGTACATTGTGTTTATTTGGGTGCAAGTCTGTTTCTGACTTTTTGAGGGCAAAGATTTTGAGGGCAAAGATAGCTGTGCATCTTTTCTGCTTAACCTGTACTTAGGTATTCCACTGAATGCTGAATGAAGCGGTGCTTAATGCCTACCACAGAGTAAGTCCTCTTTTCTTAGTAGATCTGGAAAAGAGGGAGTGTATCAAGTAGAACTCAGCACAGGACAGTTTCATGGGGAGGCCATATTTAGCAAAAATTACACAAAATTTTCCTTCTTAGTGTCATGTGCAGTGGAATAAAGGCCTGGCAGGGGGTGGAAAGATGCCAGGCCAGCTATTGATGAACCAAGAGCAGTTCTTTTAACTTGGTTCATTGGAACTGTTAACGTTGGGACATAGTCTTGTTCTGGTTCGGCTTTTTTTTCACCCCTCAGTTATGAAAATACATAAACCCAGGAAAATAACCTTATAAGCAGTGGCCCTATAATTGTTTTCCCAAATTCTGAACAAATGGTCAGGCCACAAGAGTAAGTCTGGCTTTCCACAAAGTAAATCTAGTGGTGTCACACTGAGGTCCAGGTTTTCTGATTTACCTGAGTGCCCCATCGTAAGTCCTGTGCTCCAGCTGAGTGTCTGGTGATGAAGCTGCTTTCCAGAGTTGGTTTTTGGCTTGTTTTATTTTGGGATGTTTCATTAGAAGGCAGAAACTTAGGATGTAGGTTTTTTAAAACCAGAACTCTAGGAAAGCAAAGTTTTGCGGGGGCTAAAATTGCTAGAATATGTATGGAGATCTTTTTCAGGGCTAATGGGGTCTGGGAATGTGGTAAACAGAATGGAAGACTTTCCTGAGGCCCCTCTGAAAGCCCCCATTTTGTGAATAAGCACATCCTTTTTAGCATCAAGGCAGCTTTGTACAACCGAAATAGATTGGGCTCTCATGTTAAATATTTTTTAAGTGTCTAGAATTCTAGGCTTTGTGCTAGGTGCTGAGACTTTACCATTTGAGCAAAATAGACAGTGTTCTCATAAAAAGTAGATTTTCTGGGAGAACAGAGAGTACAAGACAACTTGATACCAGCTAGTTACTGTCGTGGTTGGACAACATGCAGACAGCCTTGGGAGTGTTCACAGGGCCACGTGACCAGCTAGGTCAGCAGGAACTTCCCCGGGGAAGTGATGTCTATGTTGAACCTTGAAGAGTGAGCGTGCGGCGGCCTGGCACGGGAGAGATGGGGGAAGAAAGAGTGCTTGACACAGAGAGTGTCGCGTGAAAAGGCACAGGGGCAAGAAAGCCTGGTGTTGGGGATATCTGACTGTACAGCTGACCCTTGAACAGCACGGGTTTGAGCTATGTAGGGTCTTCTTGTATGTGATTCTTTTTAGTAAATTCAGTAAATCACATTGGAAAATTGAAGATTTGTGATAATCTGAGAAAATATTTTTTCTCTAGCTTTATTGTAGGAATATAGTATATAATACATACAATATATAAAATATATGTTAATCAACTGATCATGCTATTGGTATGGCTTCCAGTCAACAACAGACTCTTAAGTTTTTGGGGAGTGAAAATTTACACATGGTTTTTCAATGCCTCTAACCCCAGTGTCGTTTGAGGGCCAGCTGTAGTTCACTGTGGTTAGAGCGGTGATTGCCGGACAGGATGGGGAGGGCTGGGGGGCTCTTAGAAATGGTGCTGGAGCATCAGTGGTGGTCTGACTGTGAGGGGTCTGCTCAGCCCTGGTGAGGAGTGTGTGCTCTAATGTGAGGGCAGTGGGGAAGAACTAAAAGGTATGTTTTTATTTATTTGTATAATTAAAAACCAAGAGAGATGGAGTGAATGAGACTATATGACAAGAGCGATTTTCCCAGCCTCCCCAACACTGAGTTCGGCTCTCCACAGTCTTCTCTAACCATTTTCATTTCAGTCTTTCTGATTGTTACTCCTGAAACACTGTATTGCATGTTAAAACCATTTGTGATTTCAGTTTTAAATAATTGTTGATTTTCTGATTTGGGATCTGAGTGAGGGCTTATTAGCCTGTTTATTCATTTCCCACATCCCTTCTTGTATGCATCACTGCTGGATAGTGTGTCTGTTGTAATTCTAATAATATCCTTTTGTGTGGATCAGTGATTTTTGTCAGTGTCTTGGCTCCTTTGTAGGATAAAGATAGTAATGCCCTAAATAATGGCTCTTCCCTTCTGGTTCTGCATGTCTGTCCCTCCTTTGTCATACTTCTATGTTTTTGTCATTACTTTCACACTGTAAGGGTTTTCTCATTTGCATTCCATCTGCCATCCCAACCAAGTGTTCTGGGCAGTTCATGGGTTGAACTCTAAAAATTAGAAATCTACTATTTTATTGTTTTTAATTTTAGGACTCGTTTTGTTATCTTGGTTTCCTTTTTCAAGAGAACCTGTTCTTGTTTTAAGGATTCACAAATCTTTCCAGATGTGCTTAGAAGATTTTTACTTATTTAAGTGTTCTTCAGCTTTTCCAACTTAGCTCTTTCTTCCAAGGTCATTGTTTCTCTTAGTATTTATTTCTCTTTCATTCAGATGGTATTCCTGAACGTTTAGCAAGCCTGGTTGGTGATCATATGTTGGGTGATCTTTGGTTGTCTATAAATACATTAGAAATAAAGACTGGCTACTTTACCTGGATTGGACTTGTCCCCTGATGGGATCAGAACTGGAGTGATTGCCTTAAGAGTGCGTTCAGGCTGTGAGCCTCTAATTCAAAATGGGGAGAGATTTACCTAAGGATATCAACACTTATACCAGAAACCTCTGTTTTATGGTTTTTGAGAGATACCCCTTGGATTTTTTTGTTTGAGGGTAAATGCTGGGTTGCTGAGTATCTGCTGGTGTAGAGAGTCAGGTACTAGAAGGTACTAGAGACGTGGGGTGCTGACAGGCTCAGCCTTCCTGTATGCAATTAGTCACCTCCATTCTTAGTTGGCCCTCAGAATACCTCCTGAACTGAGGCCCATCACCTCTTTCAGATGCACCGAGTCTGTCCCATCACACCTGCGCTTCCTGTGGTGTCTTACTTTTCTTGTTACAGATTCACCTTTTTTTTTGCTTCCATTCTTTAGTTTCACCATAGTCTTCAAGAAGAACAAAACCATCTTGAACTTAAGTCACTGAGGATTTTAAGAGTTGGGGTGCTCTGCTGGTGTGTCATGGCTTAGGGGGTCAGGTTTGGAGTCAGGCTGTCCTGAGGTTAAACTTGGTGCTGCCACTAGGGACTTTAGGCAAAGCATTCTACTTTTCTGTCCTCAGTTTCCTCATTTTTTCAACCAATATTTATTAAGGTGTTGTTGTGTTTGTAGCAAGAGGATGGGGGACAGTCAAGGTAGTTCTGGGGTTAAGTCAAGGCATTGCTGGGGTTGAGTATGATGACAGTTGTGAGGAGGGGGGTTTGAAAAGCAGTGGTGAAGTGGGGACAGCACCAAGAGGTGAGGGAGAAGGTTTGTCTGGGAAACGTGGCTTAGCTGAGAGTGGTGACAGTTAAATTAGAATGCATGGGGTTTCAAGGTTATGACATTTTTGTTTAGTGCTAGTTCTTAGAAGCCCAGGTATAGTCTGGAAGAAGTCCGATATTCATATTGAACAGTGAAATGGGTCTATTTCTAGGCTTGTTTAGTGGAAGTACAGTTGGAGTTGGTAATATTTGTAAATGATTGGTTAAAAGTGCAGACATTTCAATTATATTGAAGAAATATTTGTTGAGCTTCTATTAAGTGCCAGACAGACATGGCTGTAAGTGCTTCAAATAGCCACACCAATAAGCAAATATTCC